CAAGTCATCTTGTTGAAATAGAATTACATTGGGGCGCCTGGGTGGCTCAGTCAGTTGAGCGGCCGACTTCGGCTCATGTCATGATCTCACGGTCCGTGAGTTCGAGCCCCGCGTCAGGCTCTATGCTGACAGCTCAGAGCCTGGAGCCTGTTTCAGATTCTGTGTCTCCCTCTCTCTCTGACCCTCCCCCGTTCATGCTCTGTCTCTCTCTGTCTCAAAAATAAATAAACGTTAAAAAAAAAAAATTAAAAAAAAAGATAGAATTACATTGTTTTTGACAAACCTTTTGTTAAGTCTAGGGCTTTAGTGATATTTGATAGATTCAGTTATTATGGCTAATCATATCCTGGAAGAGTACTGTCCTTGCCAATTTTCAAACCTAATCTGATTTTTACACTTGAAATAATTTGGAAATTAACTCCCTATCTTTTAAATTTTCCTGGTTGTGAGCACTGGTGAGAATCTTTATTTTAAAGGTGTTCGGGAGTACCTGGGTGGCTCAGTCATTTGAGCACCCAACTCTTGATTTTGGCTCAGGTCATGATATCACGGTTTGTGAGATCTCTGTGCTGACAGCACAGAGCCTACTTGGGATCCTCTCTCTTCCTCTCTCTCTTTCCCTCCCCGCCCCCCCCATAAATAAACAAACATAAAAAAATAAAGAATATGTTTGAAATAGGACCTATCAAGAATATATGCCTCATATACTTTAATTTTTTTTTAAATGATGATTGGTAGAATGAATTTTGTAACAAGATATAGACACTGCGTTGTCCTAACTTGTTTTCTCTTTTTAAGGCAGATCTTTTTGTTTGTTTTGGTGGTGGTAATGTCTGGTGCTTGTCTACACATTCTGAACATCATTAAGCAGTAGGATAATCTTGTAAAATTAGAGCTAAGTGGCCAATTTGTACATTGAGACTAGCACCCAGTTTCAGGTCCATTAAAGTAATAAGGCCATCTTTTGAGATCCAGGAAAACATCATAACTTCTGTTTTTTTCCACACGTGTATTTTTATTTTTCTTCCATATCATGTGTTTGTTTTATCAGTTTTATAATGCTTAACGTATTAGTAATACAGTACATATCTCATTTATAAATGAATAACTACAGATGTTGTTCCATGCTTACCTATAAGAGTATTTAGTCAAAATAGCTTGAAGACCACAGTTCTGACAAAGTCACTAATCCTAGAGAATGGACATTACGTGGAGAATATGTGATCTTTTGAGAGTGATAGGCAAAGGTCCAGTGATAAAATATATAGCAAGAGTTATTTGATATAGATTGAAATATATAGATCAAGAAGCTCATTTATATTGCTTCTTCATTATAAAACATAAAAATGGGGGCGCCTGGGTGGCGCAGTCGGTTAAGCGTCCGACTTCAGCCAGGTCACGATCTCGCACTCTGTGAGTTCGAGCCCCGCGTCGGGCTCTGGGCTGATGGCTCAGAGCCTGGAGCCTGTTTCCGATTCTGTGTCTCCCTCTCTCTCTGCCCCTCCCCCGTTCATGCTCTGTCTCTCTCTGTCCCAAAAATAAATAAACGTTGAAAAAAAAAAATTAAAAAAAAAAAAATAAAAAATAAAACATAAAAATGGTCCCTATGGTTTATTTTCCAAGTTAGGAGGAGTTTTAATAGTTGTAAGTAGCGTATGTATGACATTTTAATAGTTCGGAGCAGTGTAAGTTTAGGCACAAGTTTTCCACATGTAGTGGTTCTTCATTTTCTGGCTACAGCTGACCTTTATGCAGGACTTTTTGTATTTAGTGGTGGACTGCTATAAATGTTGGTTCTTTTTTAAGACAATCTTTTTTGTCTCTTGTGTCTTCCTGGTGGAGGGAATATAAAGTAACTTTTAAAATTCTTAAACAAATTGTTATAAATTAGATTATGAGAGACATATTTTCTCCTTTTCCCAAAGTTGTTAAAATTTGTGGGTATTGCTTTTATAGCCAGAAAAAAAAATACTTAAAGGAATTAATATAAATAACTTCTACTAGTGCCAAAAACAGTCTACATAGGTATTAGTTGTGATGGGGGAGGAGGTAAGAGAGAAGAAAAAAAAAAAAACAAAACAGTGAAACAGGACAAGTAGCAAGAAAGCATTACAAATAGGAAGAAGAAAGTTACATGACAAGTTAAATTTACTATAGCAATAATGTAAATGGGATAAAATTATCTTCTACAAGAAGGCTTACTGCAAAGCTTTTTTTCCCAAAAAGCTTAGTTATATACTGAGTATAGGACACATGCGTAAACAGAATGAATGAAAGAAATTGAAAATTCAAGAGTAGGGATATCAGGCAAATTATAATAGAGAGCAAAAGGGGTCACAATGTTAATGTTTAATTTGACAGAGTTTAAAACGTGATATATGGAACAGATCATAATGGTGAAGTATGTAAGCCATAGTACTGATATCATGGATCAGTATGTGTAAGGTTACACAGAACCAAAATGTAAATGATAAAAAATGGCAATAAAGAGAATTATTAGATCTCAAAAGAAGTTTAGAAATTTTAGAGTTCTTCTCTAAATTTGTGACAGATCCAGATGATAATTATATTATTCCTATATTCTGTATTTTTATTTCAATTGAGGCACAAGACTAATAAAGACTTATATTCTGAAAACAGAAAATACATCTTCTTCATGACTCATGAGATATTTATAAAAATTGGCCATGTTTTTGGTCACAAAGAAAATTTCAGATAATTCTAAAGAGTAGATAGAAATAGTAGGTATCCTAGATTCTCTGCCCATGGTGAAATGAAATTAGAGCTAAGTAATAAAGATGAGGAGGAAATTTGGTAATTTTCTTATCTTTTGTAACACTCTCGGGTTAAAGAAAAAAATCAAAACTGCAGTTTTTTAAATTTTTTTTTTCAACGTTTTTTATTTATTTTTGGGACAGAGAGAGACAGAGCATGAACGGGGGAGGGGCAGAGAGAGAGGGAGACACAGAATCGGAAACAGGCTCCAGGCTCTGAGCCATCAGCCCAGAGCCTGACGCGGGGCTCGAACTCACGGACCGCGAGATCGTGACCTGGCTGAAGTCGGACGCTTAACCGACTGCGCCACCCAGGCGCCCCTCAAAACTGCAGTTTTAAGATATGTAAATAATATGATAACACCAAAGTATACAGTGTTTTGTTTTCTGATAAAAAAACAAAGCAACAAAAAAACCCTGTATAGTCTGGCTTCAGGAAGATAGTGGAAGGACAGTATTCAAAACAAATGTTCCTTAATTGTTGTTAATGTGCAAGGCATTTTAGTTCCATGTGAGCTGTAACCCTGGATGAGACTCTGAGCTTTGGAGCTTGTAATTGGATGGATTTTATTATAGAAAGCACGTCGGTGGTAAATTATTGGGGATGTGTATATGGAAAGACTATAATTTCTTTGTTAAGAAACTGTAGAGTTCGTTATGATCATTTTAATTTTGAAAAGCAGTACTTACAGTACCCAAATGGAAGGAAGTAGGTTGTTAGAGTAGATTGACTAAACTGTGTAGAATGTCTGGAGATCTTGCTTCCTTTTTACCTCTGGCTCCTGTTGGCAGTTCTCTTTCATTGGACAATTCTGTTTTATCCCTCTGGGCCAGATTCTTCATACATAAATGAGGAAATTGAATTACAATATGAGGTTCTTTGTACATGTTATTTTTGTGTAGCTATGAATAAGTTGATTTAAGTAGTATTGAGCATTGATTCCTTTTCAGTCTGTAGAGACTAAACTTAAGTCCTGGTGGGGGAGAAAGACAAACTTACAGTTCCATGCAAGCAGAGGGGGTCACATATATCTGAAACCAAGGGTAGAGATGGAGAAAGAAAAGCCTTGGGGAAGGTTTCACAGAGTTGGTGTGACACCTGAGCTGCTCTTGGAGATAAGAGTTTGTCAGGGGAACACAAAAGGAGAGAGTTGTCTGCTCAAGAAGTAGTAGAATGTATAGGGGCAGAGAAGGGAGTGTTGTACATTTGGGAAACTGCAGTTAGTTCATTTGGCACTTTGTAGTTAGCATGGATTTATAGTGGAGTAGCAAGACATTAAGCACCGAGGTATATGGGAGCCAAATTGTAAAAAATACAGGCTTTAACTTTAAGATGGTGATTAACCATGAAAGTGTTTGTTTGTTTGTTTTAGTGGTGTTGGGATGTAGCCCAATTGAGATAGATGCAGAGATAGCAGTGAAGAAACTGGCAGTTCAGGGGAGACATGATAGAGTCTTAATTAAAGTAATGGCAGTGAAGATGATGGGTAGATTTTAGAATAGGTCTCTGAATGGGTGAACAAGCATCTGACAGCCCTGGAAATATATGCAAGATTTAATATGTGAATGTATTTTCCTTTGGAGAGGGTCTGCAAACTTCATCAGGTCATATATGAAAGAGCTGTTAGGGTAAATATATATCATACGGAAACTTGGCAGGGTGACATTCTACAGACTATGAAGTTTAAATTTTACATAATTTATCAGTGACTAATCTAATTTTTTTTCACTTTTTATAGTGGACAGGCCAAAAGCTCAGCAAGTTCGAACCTCTAGTACAATAAGGCGAACCTCTTCTTTGGATACGATAACAGGACCTTATCTCACAGGACAGTGGCCACGGGATCCTCATGTTCATTACCCTTCATGCATGAAAGATAAAGCTACTCAGGTAAAATGAGCAAATCAAAATCAGTTTTATTACCCTGCAGTTCTGTTTTGATCACAATAAAGAAAATGTAATTTCATCAAATTTTTCCAAATTTGAAATATATTCAACCAAAGAAGGAAGCCATTTCTTTTAATAAGCTTTAGACTAATGGTTTATTGTCATTTCGGTTTTAAAAGTTTTAAAATTATTTAAAATTTAATAAAGAGCACATCAGTTTATATTACATGGTTTTTGAGACTTAGAGTTTTAAGAATTGCTTAACAGAAATTAACATAACTAGTAAGTATATTAGAAAATATAAATAATTTTTGAAGAAAAGTTTACACAATTTTTGGAAGTAATTTATAAAGTACTAGCACATGGCTAAGGAAATTCATGTTATAGGATTTTGTTTAATTTTTTTTTTAATGTTTGCTTATTTTTGAGAGAGAGACAGAGCATGAACAGGGGAGGGGAAAAGAGAGAGAGGGAGACACAGAATCCAAAGCAGGCTCCAAGCTGTGAGCTGTCAGCACAGAGCCCGACACGGGCCTCGAACCCACAAATTAGGAGATCATGACCTGAGCTGAAATCCCGATGCTCGACCAACTGAGCCACCCAGGTGTCCCTGTTTGTTTGTTTGTTTAAAACCGAAGACTAGAAACCTTGATATCTAAATAGAACGTTTACTGTTTGTCACACTTTTTCTGCTTATGGAAGGTTCCCCAAACTTTTGATTTGAGAAGCTTTCCTTCCAAGTCAGGGAAAAATATGAAAACATCTTACTTTATGATTTCTGAGTTCTTGACCATTTCTTCATAATAGTCGTCAGTCAGCATTTTGAAGAATATTAAAAGTTTAAGAGACGGTTGCTGGCCTTAAAGAACTTACAGCATAGTTAGGAAGATAAGATGTAAATTCATGAAAATCAGTAATAGAAGATAGTATATAATTAGATGTTTGATGAATGGAGCATGTAAATGTTAGAGGATTCAAAGGAATGAGAAGATTTGAAGCTTTCTAGGTTAGGGAAATGGAAGTATTTGAGTTTCATGTCTGAAGAAAAAGGGAGGAAATTTGGACATGATCTTCTCAGTGCTTATAATTTTCTCAGAGAAGCTTGAAACCATGAAATTAGCTTTATTATCCATCTTATCAGTTTTGTCTTCGCAATATTTTATGCTATCCATAGTCTTTTGCTTTCCATTCTTTGCTTTATGAGGAAAAGGATCAGTTTGATGTGGTAGACAATGGGCTTCTCAAGTAGAAATAACTAGCAGAACTCAGAGATGTGGGTCTGGACACTTAGAATTGGACACAGATAATTCAAGACCATCTTTTTGGAAGAGTAGGGTTCACAAGTGTGATAAAGTGTAGACATGGTATAAAAAGAAAGAAGATCAAGAGACCAAGGACTTCATCTTTGGAAAAGCACACAGGGAAAGAGAAAAATGCACACTAATATATTTACCTGGAAGCAACAAGAAGAGGAGGGGATTAACATTTACTGACTGTAGATCATGTGCTGCATTTCTTACATCCCGAGTTTCATTTAGTTCTCACAAGAACAATGTAAGATGACACAGATGGGGAAGCAGAGACTCTGAGAAGGTAAGGGACTTACTCAGGATCATAAAGGTAGGAAGTGTTGGAGCCAGGCATCAAATATAGATTAATTTGTCAATCATTCTGAGCTTCAGTTTTATGGTGCTGTTAGAATAAATGGAATAGTGTGCTTGTGTGTTTCACCTAGTGGAGTAACTGGCATGGTATTTAAAGATGGCAGCTTTTCTTTTTAGGTTTTAAAAAATCCTACTTTTTATTGAGTATATGCTTTATGCAGATGGTATCCGGAAACAGAAGAGCCAGGTAAAGAGCAAAAGCTAAGAGAAGAATTGCAGTAGTCTAGCCTTAGGAGCCAAAGGGAAAGATGTTCTAAGGAAGAATTGTTAACACCATCAGGTGCCAAAGAGAGAGGTCATGGAGAATAAGGACTAAAGTTAAGGATTAGGGGCACATTATCTTGGAGAGTTTAGTATTGAAGTTACAGAGGAGGAAACTCCGATATTCCAGAATTAAGAAGAAAACTAGATGGAGATAGAAAAGAGGGCTCTGGGTATGCTTCTTAAGCTTGTCTGTTTCTTTATCTGTGTGACAAGGTTAGTGAAACCTAACTCATGATAATGTTATGTAACTATACATGACAATATATGAAAGTGAATGTCAGTACCCATGGTAGGTTATTAGTAGTGGATACAGATAGGCCCATTTGCAACATTTGCATGGTTTGGAGCAAATATAAATGAAGACCCACATACCATATGTGTATAACAAACTGTTATATAAGATATATTTTGTCCTTCCACTTTGGCAAATAAACCTTCACATGGACCTTGAACGTCAAGTTGGAACTAAGAAATCCTGGATTCTTGGGGCGCCTGGGTGGCTCAGTCAGTTAAGCGGCTGACTTCGGCTCAGGTCATGATCTCGCGGTCCGTGAGTTCGAGCCCCGCGTCGGGCTCTGTGCTGACCGCTCAGAGCCTGGAGCCTGTTTCAGATTCTGTGTCTCCCTCTCTCTGACCCTCCCCCGTTCATGCTCTGTCTCTGCCTCAAAAATAAATAAACGTTAAAAAAAAAAAAAAGAAATCCTGGATTCTTCAGACCTACATGCCAGGATGTGTCTGCATGCTCTGATCCCACCCCGTCTTCTGAGCCTAAACCCGTATCTCTTCCTACCCTACACACCATTCTATTCTCTGAGAGGGGGCTTCACACATATGTTTCAATGCCCCAGTTCTCACATCCATGCTTTGTTCGTACTCCTTCAGGAAGTGAGACCCAGGGAATAGGTTCTTTCACAACTTAGAAGCCAGGCTGCTCTGTTTAGGCAAGGAATTCCTGGGTCTAGGTTACCCAGAGCTTAGTCCGTGGTAGAGGTGTGGGCTCATGGTGTGTATGTCCTTTTGGACCCATGATCTCTTCACCTTTGGGGAGGGGTGTGGGTAGAAGAGGGCCAGAGTAGTTCCTCCTAAAACCCGGGGTCCAGGACAGAGGTCTGACTGGGTCTCTATGTAGGTCATTTATTTGAGAAACAACATTGAAAGGAAGGTAAAACATAGGCCTCACTTTACAGATGAGATACTGAGGCATGGGGAAGTTAAGTAATTTGTACTTGGTTATATAGCTAATAACAATAAAGAAATTTGAACTCAGATTTGGCTGATTGCAAAGCTTTTGCTTTTTTTTCAGTTCTCCACTGTTTCTCATAGTAACCCCTGAAGCATATAGACTTAACCCAGTGTTTACTTTAGAAGCATAAGAAATGGTCTTGCCCCCAAGCCTCTCTCTGTTGGTTTAATTGAAGGTACAAGAGATGAACATGTGAGATGTTTTTTGTTTTTATTTTTTTATTGTCACATCCATTCTTTCCGGATTAACTCTTGAACTCTGAGTGATGCAAATAGAAGATTTTGTTTATTTAGGGTAAGTTAGTGGAGAGAAGGTGGTACAGTCACTTGCTACAGATATTGCTATCTAGGCTGTCTGGTTTTGGTGGAGGGTGTCTCTAGGATTTTTTTCTTTCACATTTCCATATTTCAACTACCTTAATTATTGAGGGTTAGGAATAAAATTCTCAATATTTAATATACTTACACATTGGGCCTTTTCAAAAGTGTAGCATAGTGTTGTGAAAATCACTGTGGACTTTGGAGATGCATCATGTGTTCAAATTAAGGCCCAGTATGAGAGAACCTTGTGGGATGATGGAAGATTTGTATATCTTGATAGAGGTTTTGGTTATATGAGTGAATGCATTTTTCAGAACTTACACAAGTATACATTTGTGTGTTTTACTATAGAACTTTAAAAATATAGAGCCTAAACAAATATTGAACTCTAATCAGATGTTCAGGAGTGAAATGTACTGCTGTCTGCAGCTTACTTTGAAATGAATCAAAAATAAGATCAGTTGATGGATAGGTAGATCTATGAAGCAAATATAGCAAAATGTTACATAGAGAATCTAAATGTTGGCTTTTTTAGTGCTCATGAGGCAGTTATTTTCAGTACACTTTAAGGTTGAGTATTTTAAAATGTTGGGAGAATAATCATGGCCACTGAATTAACCGTTGTGTGGTCCAAACTTCAGTTTCCTCTATAAATTGAAATAGCAGACCAAATTTGCAGAATCACATATTTACACTGAGGACTGAAAGAGACCACTTCACATATTTAAGGCTAATGAGGAAATGGGTCATTGCCAGCTTATTAGAATAGTCTGTGTAGCTTAATAGAAATAAAAACTAAAAACCTTTTGTGGAATTTAATATTACTTTAATATATCAGCCTTGCAGATACAACCCTTTTTTAAACAAAAATTTATTACCAACTCCCAAAATTGAACCTGCAGTTAAAGTTACAGTAATCAGTAGTATATTCTCAGTTTTTACCATGTTATCTAAAGCTTCATCTCAGATTTACAATTCTGAGTGTGAGCATGTTTTTAAATGAGAAAGTAGTACATACACTTTCCATAAAGGGTTCAAACAATAAAAACAGTATAGAGCAATAATAAAGCATGTTTCTTCTGAGTTCCCAAGTATGGTAGCAAATATACACATTCTCTTCACAAATATACACATTTTCTCTCCATGGCACATTGTAGGATTTTACTTCTCTGCCCACTTAACGTTAAGTTTGGCCATGAAACTTATAGGAAGAGGCTGGAAGAGACCTGGCATACTAAAACCAGACAAGGCCACCACAAAAAAAGAAAATTATAAGCTCGTATCCCTGATTAATTTAGATGCAAAACACCTCAACAAAATATTAACAAACCTAATTCAATAGTACATTAAAAGGATCATACACCATGATCAGTGGGATTTATTCCAGGAAGCAAGGTTGGTTCAACATTTGCAACATTGTTCAGTGTGATACATCACATTAACAAAATGAAGGATAAAAATGATATGATCATCTCAATAGATGCAGAAAAAGCATTGGTCAGAATTCAGCGT